ATTACTGGTGATCAACTTTTTATCTGAATATACTAAAAACAATTAATGCAAATAGTTCATTTAATTGAAAAAAGAAAAAAAAATAGTAACATTTACTTCTAGAAGACAAATCGCCTATGAGGAGTGGTTTGATTAGGGGTGTAAATGATGCGAATCGAGCTCGAGTATCACTATACTCGACTCGAACTCGAAACCCAATTTCCAAGCTCGAACTCGACTCGAAAACTCGCGAGTAGTAAAAATCAAAGCTCGACTCGAACTCGATAACTATTTCTCAAGCTCGAACTCGAATCAAACTCGAATCAAGCTCGACTCGAACTCGATAACTATTTCTCAAGCTCGAACTCGAATCGAGCTCGAAATAAGCTCGAACTCGAGCTCGAAACAAGCTCAAATCAAACTTGAACATGAACTCGAGCTCGAATCAAGCTCGAACTCGAACTCGAACTCAAATCAAGCTCGAACCAAGCTCACCCGTTGAAATTTATGAAATTTTTTGTTTTTTCTCTTATAAATTTTAAAACTTAAAGGTGTTTACTTAGTTTTTATAAAACTAAAAGGAGCAACTTCAAACTTCATCATAAAAAAAACAAAGTTAGAAATTTCATTCACCTCCCTCTCTTTTTATAACATCTTTTCTTCCCTTTTTACCATCTCTCTTCCAATGTGAGACAATTTCACTAGTCTTTTTTATAGTTTTTCTTTGTCTTTTTTTAATTGTGATTTTAATAAAAAAATAATAATTTATTAATTTTTATGTTTAGAAAATGCATAATTTTGTTTATATATCTAAAAATATAAGACATTTTTATTATTTATATATTACAAATTTTATCATAAAAACTTATTATATTTTGAAACTAATTATATATAAAATAATCGAATATCTCACGAGCTTTTCGAGCAGAGTATTGGGTAACTTGACTCGACTCGTTTATATGTCAAGTCGAGCTTATTCGAGTCGAGTGTTGACCGAGCTTTAACCGAGTCGATCTCGAGTAGCTCACGAGTTGTCTCGTATTCTTTACACCCCGAAGTTTGACGACTGTATAAATATTAAAATTATATTTTTTTCTATTTAATAAATAATATTTACTAGATGGTTTATCACAACTAGTTTGTGAAATTAGTTGTCGTCTAAAAAACTAGTTATTGGTTGATAAGTTAATTATTAGCTGATAATTAAATCAGGGTTAAGGCATAATCAGAAAGAAAAAAAAAATTACTTTCGAGAAACTAATTAAAAAGATATATCGTACACTACAACAAAATTGGGTTTATAGGACAACCTCAATCTCTAAGCGTCCTAATAGACCGTTTTATAGGACTTGATTTATAGGACCAAAATATAAAACGTCATATCTAAATGTGTTGTAATAAGTTTATAAGAACGCTTTTGAGCGTTTTAACATGTTTTTTATGACATTTTTCATACAAATTGTCGCATTAACAACTTTGTAGGACACTTTTGAGAAAGTGTCACATAAACTCAACTTTTTATAAGACATTTGTTTTTATAAGACAAATTTTCAAATAGTGTCTTATAAAGCTGCTAATGAGACGCCTTATAATAAAAGTGTCCTAAAAAACTTATTACAACGTCAAAAAACGTCGTATAAACTTATTACAACGCTTTTAGATAGAACGTTTTATTTTTTTGGTCCTATAAACTAAGTCTTATAAAGAGGTCTATTAATATGCTTAGAAATAGAGAGTGTCCTATAAACCCGATTTTGTTGTAATGATAACTTACTAAATGAATTCTATTTTCAATAAATTACAAGTTATAATTATAAAAAAAACATGATCAATATACAATATTTAATAACTAAACATAAATGCAAATTAAGCAATATAATTAGCTGGCATTTAAGGGTTTTGATTATTTTTATTAAACTGATCCACCAGAAAATTCAAACAAGTTAACTACTAAAATTGAAACCAAATATTTGCAAAATCAGATCTTGCTTTCATTATAATGTAGATTAAAATACAAACAATTAAATAAAAAATTATAAACCAAAATACAGTTTTAATTGAAGTGGATTTAGTCAATGCTTTATATATATATATATATATATATATATATATATATATATAACCCTTATCTACAAATAAAACATACGTCATAATAGCAGAGTTTTTAATACAATCCATACAAAGTAATTTTAACTGTCTATTTTTTTTAAGACGACAATATTATTGAGCAAAGAAAGTTAAGGAAATACAGGATATGCCGCTGCAAGGTGTAGAGACTAAAGGAAACACGAAACAAAACAAAAGAGAAGCTGACAAAGAGACTACAAAGAAAAGACCACAAATGCGAACCAAACTCGAACAAAGGAAACAAGAGTATGTTTAAATTATGAGATGGGTGCAATCTACTTCTCCCAATTCAAATAGTCCTTGTGCAATCGCCTCGAAGTCCAACCGAACACTCGAACTCTTATTTCCACAAATAAAGCCTCTTTCAAAAGCAACTTGTCGCGAAAAACCGCGTTATTTCGGTGAACCCAATCCAAGTGAAGAGTAACCCAAACGGAAGCTTGCCATATCCTTTGAAGCCAAGGTGAAAACGTGAGAGTATCTGGATGATTTACAATACCGACATTGTGTTTTCCATGTTGTCAAGAGCCCTCCATGTCCAAAATAATTCCCAAATTTTTTACGCAAACTTGCATCCCACAAACACAATGATTCAACGTTTCCTCTTATTCTTTACAAATTGTACACACACTAAATCTAAATCTAATATAAAGATTCGATCATAATTAATAAACTATAATCATCTTTTATAAATATTCAAATTATAATAAATGAACCATCATCATTTCTATAAATATTTCAATTTGTTAGTCTGTATGATGTGTATAAATAACATGGTTTGCATTATATTGTATGTATCTATATATATAATTAGGAAAATAGGAATTTACAATTAATCTAGAAATAATGTCGTTTTTTTATCATGTTTCTTATTGTTCGTCAAAAGATTTCTTGAAATATTTTGTTGTCGGGTTTTTTACGATTATTCTAAATAAACATTTTTTATATTTTTCTTTAGTATATTCAGAACGATAAAATTTAATGTTATTAAAATTAATAACCCGCAATTCATGCAATTAATAACCCGCAATTCATGCTTATTCAATACGACACTGAAATATTTGGTAAGCTCATTTACCTTTTATGTATCTCGTAAGCCATCAAAATGACCTCTCATACCTTTTAAACATCAACGCCTTTTGTTCAACCCCCTTTTACACAGCAATACCTTCTCGATCTACTACGCTCTTCCTCCTCATCTCTCTCTTTCATCTTCGCTCGACCCTTCTCCGGTGACCATTCTCCGTTATATCTCAGGCGATTGTTCTGTGTTACATCTCCCCATTTTGGTGACCTTCGAAGAACATACAATACTGGATAAAATCGACCACTGTATTATATGAGAATCATCCTCCATTGTTTCGATCTTCTTCCTCTTTCCATCATATTTGTTATTTAAAATATGAATCAAGTGAAACTAATAAGTCACACTAAAGCTTTTTGGCATACCCGGTTTTCTTATCTCATTAAATACAGATAATCCATTATATATATAGAGATAGAAGGTTTACTTTGTAAACCATGTTACTTATACAAACCTCATTCAACCAATCACAATTTTTCATTTTTTTCATTTTTCTTGTAATTATGAGAGGTTGATTAAATTATTTTTTTATTGTGGAGGGTGTTAATCATAGATATTATCATCTTCATTATATTAATTTTAAAGAAATACATGAAACAATTTTATTAAAATTTCATAAATATTATATGAAACAATTTTATAATTATATATGAAACAACTTCATCTATAAAAGTATTATATGAAACAATTTCATAATATTAAACAATTTCATGAAACAAATTCATTAAATTAAACAATAAAATCGACGGATAAAAGTAGTTTATATAATTTGTACAAATATGAGTAGTTTGTATTTAATCGCTCCATTATATATGTATGAATATATATGTTTCTGTGTGTGTGAGAGAGAATGTCATACTATGTTTATTAACAAAAGCTTATATATAAATTCTAAATGCTATGTCTTGGTAATATTGACATGTTAAATATAAACCACACACTTATTTAGATTATGAGTTGACAAGTGGCGTGTATTCTCGGAGACGTTCGGAAAGTCTAGTGGAGGCGTAGGTTTAAGTGGCAGGGAAAAAGTTTACTTTGTGTTTTTTTTACTATCTGTTATGTAGATAGCCCGAAGTCATTGTATTTGGACCTCTGTGATCATAAGGGGATTCTTATTCCTTTTTGGATTTGAACCTGAGACCTCCTGATACTTTTGACCTTTGGAGCCAAGCTCAAACCAATCAGGCACCACCTTTGTGGTTTATACGTTAAGTTTTTGATTCAAAAAGAAAGATAAAGTACATTTGTTGTTTGACTTGTTGTAAGTTAACCGAGATATCGTATTCATTTAAGGTAAAATCAGGAGATGTGAAAAAATAAATTAAACTTAACTTTAACTCGTTAATTCCACAAATGGTTTCAAAATTCGAGTGATATATTATATTCCAAGATCATATATCATCCATCTTATCTTGAATTTCGACAATTCATCTAAAGAATAGTCCTGCTTTTAAACCTCTCGTCATGCATAAAACTCAACTCTTGTACCATTTAATCTTATATATGAAAAATAACGTTCATCGTTCTGTAACTTGTCCACAATCCGTCACAATCACGTCGTCACTTTTGTTTCTCTGAGGAATGTCTTATATATCAGTTTATTTAAAACATTTTATTTTAAACATATAATAACACACTTTTTTATATTGAGTAGACACATTACATCAATATCTTACAAGCCATTATTCTTTTTTTAACATAGTTAACAACTTATACCGGAATCAAACTAGTAATAAGAAGGTTTTGAAGAAGTTAAACCTTATAAAGATGTGAAAGATGTGATTTTGAAAATTGAAAATAGAATAAATCAAACGGCCATTGTGAAAGATGTGATTTTGACTGATGCACCCAACGGTAATTTTCCGATCTCCACCGTGAATGTATCATACCGGAGAAAAAACTCCACCACCATTATTCTACTGCACAGCACCACCAGGTCCTTGCCCGGACATTGCTTGTTATCCGCCGTCGGACTCTCCGTTTCCCTCGCATTTGACCAGTAAACATACTTTAACAGCTTTTCTCCTTCTCCGACGAATCTATCTGCGACGAACTCCTCCGGATTATTGAACACCTCCGGATCCTTTGTAGCAAATGGTTGGAATCCAAAGATCGTCTCTCCTTTTTTGATTTCAAACGCCGCATCGTGGCTCTCCACCACTATGTCCTCCTTCGCCGTCGCGTACTGGTACGGCACCGGTGGCTCAATCCTTAACACCTCGTAAACAACCGACTTCGTCAACGGCATCTTCTCCAAGGCGGAGAAGGTGACGCCACCTTCTTCCTTTACGACGGTTCTGATCTCTTCCGCGAGTTGGCGGTGCAAACTCTCTCTGGCGGATCCAATCCACTTGATTAGAGCCGGAAACAGAACTTTCATGCCACCGAAAGCGTTAAAACCGGCGACGAACACCAGGTTATGACAAGCTTCATCACGTTTGATTCCGACTTTCTCAGCCTCGTCGAGTAACAATGTCGCAGAATCGTAAACAGCGTTGTACAGTTTTTTGTAGCCCGGCTTTGTTGGAAGATTAATTCAATTTGCAGTTGTTTTTTCTAGGTTTGATATAGTCAAAATAAGGAGAGTCAATTCTCCCGTTGGTTTCCTGATTTTTAGTCTGAGTTTGTTATCTAGAGAATTTATCTTTTGCCTATTGTACTGCCTATATAAGGCATCTGCTTGATTTCAATAAACACATAGTTGCTGGGCAATTTTTGTTTTCTGTTTCCTCTCTGTTTGTTCTCTGTTTGCTTAAAGAATTTCCAACAATCTGGTATCAGAGCCAGGTTCCCTTTTCTTTGTTAAATATGGCAGCAAACCTATCTACGGTCAATGTGTCATCACCACAGATTCCAGTCTTCAAAGGTGTATCTTATGAATATTGGAGCATCAAAATGAAGACGCTTTTCAGGTCTCAAGATCTTTGGGAATTAGTCGAGCATGGGGGTACCGGAGGAAGTGATGATGATGCAAAACAGAAGGAAACTCAGAAAAGGGATGCTAAAGCTCTATTTCTCATCCAACAAGCAGTGGATGAGACGATTTTTTCCCGTATTGCAGCAGCAACCACAGCGAAGCAAGCTTGGTCAATCTTGAAAACCGAATTTCAAGGTTCTTCAAAAGTAATTACTGTGAAGCTTCAATCCTTTCGTCGTGAGTTTGAAACCGCCAGTATGAAAGGAAATGAATCAGTCCAAGAGTACTTGGCACGTATTTCTTCTCTAGTAAGTCAGATGAGGACCTATGGAGAAGTAATTGCTGATGAAACTATAGTTGCTAAAGTTTTACGAAGCCTATCCCCTAAGTTTGATCATGTCGTAGCTGCAATTGAGGAATCAAAAGATCTGTCAACATTCTCCTTTGATGAACTAATGGGTTCTCTGCAAGCTCATGAAGTGAGGATCAACAGATCAACAGAGAAAGATGAAGAAAGGGCATTTCAGATCAAAGATGAAAGCGAATCCTCCAATTTCAGAGGAAGAGGACGTGGACGTGGTCGTGTCAGTTTTCGTGGAAGGGGTAGAGCTCGTAACTCTATGGTCCAGTGCTCGTATTGTAAGAAGTATGGACACAGTGAGAAATTCTGTTGGTCTAAACCTGGAGAAGTCAATTTTGCAGTAGAAGAAAGAGAAGAAGAAGAGGATTACTTGTTCATGGTGTACACGACTGAGGGTCTGCATACAAGTGACGTTTGGTACCTAGACAGCGGGTGCTCTCACCATATGACGGGAGATAAGTCTAAGTTTAAAGATCTCGATGAATCAATTAAATCCCATGTTCGCCTTGGTAATGATGAGAAACTAAAAATCGAAGGTTGTGGGACGGCTGTGATCAAAGCAGGCGATAGATTCAAACTTATCAAGAATGTCGACTATGCTCCATGTCTTGCGCACAATTTGATCAGCGTGGGTCAGCTGATTGAATCTGGGTACTCGGTGGTTTTCGATGACACTCGGTGCATGATAAAGGACAAGGGATCAGGTAAGGTTCTTGCTCAAGCCACCATGACAGCTAATAAAATGTTTCCTCTTGTATTTTGTCTTGATCCAGAAGTTGCTTTGGTTAATAAAGAGTCAAATGTTACTGATCTTTGGCATTTGCGGTATGGCCATCTCAATAGTAAAGGGTTGCAGCTGTTAAAAAACAAAAATATGGTTACAGGACTTCCATGCATTAACGATCGAGAGAAGGTTTGTGAAGGATGTGTGCTCGGAAAGCAAGCAAAGAAACCTTTTCCAGTCGGAAAGTCGAAACGAGCAAGTGATGTTTTGGAGATTGTACATGCAGACTTGTGCGGTCCAATGAAGAATGAATCTTTATCTGGTAGCAGGTATTTCTTGTTATTTACCGATGATTTCAGCCGGATGAGTTGGGTTTATTTCTTGAAATTAAAATCTGAGACATTCGAATATTTCAAGAAGTTCAAAGCTTTATCAGAAAGACAAAGTGGAAAACTCTTGAAGGTGTTGAGGACAGATCGAGGTGGTGAATTTACATCAAGTGAATTCCTCACTTTTTGTGAAGTGCAAGGTATAAAACGGGAACTAACAGCTCCTTATACTCCGGAGCAAAATGGGGTAGCAGAAAGGAAGAATCGGACTGTGGTAGAGATGGCAAGATCAATGATGAAGTCAAAGGGTCTTCCAGATTGTTTTTGGGCAGAAGGTGTGGCAACAGCAGTTTATCTCCTCAATCTATCTCCTACTAAGGTCGTTCCAAATCAAACACCATATGAAGTATGGTATAGAAATAAGCCATCTGTAAGTCATTTACGAGTATTTGGAAGTGTGTGTTATGCTTTGAAAACAGGAGATAAACACAAGATGGAAGATAAGTCACAAAAATATATATTTTTGGGGTATTGCTCTAACTCTAAAGCTTACCGTCTTTTTGATCCTGTAAGACAATGCTTAAGTGTCAGCAGAAACGTGGTGTTTAGTGAATGGGCAGCATGGAGATGGAAGAATGATGATGAAGATCATAGAGTAATAATCGAAAATGATGAAGACGAAACTGAAAGAGCAAATAAAAAAAGCTTCGAAAATGTGACACCAAATGAATCTGCAGGTGGGAGTGAGACACCAAATGAATCTGCAAGTGGGAGTGAGACACCAAGTAGATCTGCAGGTGGCAGTGGCAAGTCTACATCTGAAGATTTTCACTACAGTTCTCCATCCAAAGAGTCTGATATCAGTAGATCAGCTGCAAATGTTGAGTCACAGCTGCGTAAAAGCGAACGCGGTCACATTCCTCGGCGAAGATTTGACATTGAGGGGGAGGATGGCACCAACATGGTGTTGTTTGCTGGTACTCCAACAACGGTAGAAGAAGCAAAGGAAAGACAAGAATGGATTCAAGCGATGAAAGACGAGTTGAAGTCCATCGAACGTAACCAGACTTGGGAATTCACGGATCTTCCCGAGGGCAAAAAGACCATTGGTTTGAAATGGATCTTCAAAACCAAGTTACTGCCTGATGGAAGCATTCATAAGCACAAAGCGAGATTAGTAGCAAGAGGATACACCCAAAAACAYGGTATTGATTATGAAGAAACGTTCTCACCGGTAGCACGCTTTGAGACGATTCGTATCATTCTGGCCTTAGCTGCACACAAACAGTGGAGGGTACATCAATTTGATGTCAAATCAGCCTTTTTAAATGGCGATCTACACGATGAAGTGTATGTATGTCAGCCCCCAGGTTTCGAAGACCCAAGCAAGGTAAACAAAGTTCTTCGATTGAAGAAATCATTGTACGGTCTTAAACAAGCTCCAAGAGCTTGGTATAGCAAGATTGACGAGTTTTTTCGAAATGATGGGTTTGAAAGGAGCATAAATGAGCCAACTTTGTATGTTAAGAAACAAGGTGGGGGTGATCTTTTAATAGTGAGCCTTTATGTTGATGACATGATTTATACCAGTTCTTCAAGTCAATTAATTTCTGGATTCAAGAGCTCTATGAAGTCGAGGTTTGAGATGACAGATTTGGGTGAGCTGCATTACTTCTTAGGTATGGAAGTAATACAAACAAGTGAGGGAATATTTCTGTCTCAAAAAAGATATATAGAAGACACTTTGAAGATGTACCACATGTTATGGTGTAAAAAAGAAGCCACACCAATGAATGTTAATGAGAAACTTCAATCTGACGATGGAACCGAGCGTGCTGATGGTGGGCAATATCAGAGTCTGATTGGACGACTGCTTTACATGACTCATTCGAGGCCCGACATCAGTTTCACAGTTGGTGTTCTTTCTCGGTTTATGCACCAACCTACCAAACATCACTTTGGTGCTGCAAAGAGGGTCTTGAGGTACTTGGCTGGATCAAAAGAGTTGGGTATTTGGTATAAAAGATCTAGTCTATTCAGCTTAACAGGTAGTAGTGACAGTGATTGGGGAGGTGCTGTTGATTGTAGGAGCACCACTGGGAACTGTTTTTTCCTTGGGTCAAGTGTTGTTTCATGGAGTTCGAAAAAACAAGCTACGGTTGCTCTTTCATCTACAGAAGCTGAATATGTGGCTGTAACGGCTACTGCTTGTCAGGCGGTATGGCTGAGAAGAGTGCTGTGTGATTTGGGGCAAGAACAGAATAGTGCTACTGTTCTATACTGTGACAATAAGTCTGCGATTATGCTGTCCAAAAATCCAGTCTTTCACAGCAGAACAAAGCATATAGAAATCAAACATCATTTTATTCGTGAGCTGCTAAGCAAAGGGGAAGTTCAGCTGAAAGGGTGTACGACAGATCAGCAAACAGCAGATCTGTTTACCAAGAGCTTGACAAGGAAAAAACATGAAGAGTTATGTGCAGAGCTTGGGTTGTGCAAATTCGAATGAAGGGGGAGTGTTGGAAGATTAATTCAATTTGCAGTTGTTTTTTCTAGGTTTGATATAGTCAAAATAAGGAGAGTCAATTCTCCCGTTGGTTTCCTGATTTTTAGTCTGAGTTTGTTATCTAGAGAATTTATCTTTTGCCTATTGTACTGCCTATATAAGGCATCTGCTTGATTTCAATAAACACATAGTTGCTGGGCAATTTTTGTTTTCTGTTTCCTCTCTGTTTGTTCTCTGTTTGCTTAAAGAATTTCCAACAGGTTTCACCACAAAAAACGGTAACCGGAATGTATGGATGATATCGTCGATGAAGTCCGGCAAGTACTTAATCCCTAACGTCCCCAGCGGCGCCAGCTGAAGAGCTAACCACGTGTTCGTAATTCCAGGACCTTCCGACTTCAGTTTTGTCTCCGACGGATTAACACCTGTAAAAAGCCGAAAAACGAAATCAAACGCCATGTTATCGCTATGCTCGTTAAAATCCGCCGGTTTTCCGTCGGAAACCTCTCCTTCGAGGTTTACGAAGAGCTCCGACAAGCTGGTTCGGAAGTAAGGAATGAATTTCTGGTGAGATGAAGCAAGGAAAGTGAGGAACAAGGATTTCAGAAGATGATGGTTAGGTTCAGAGGGATCAAGAAAAGCACAGACACGATAACCACCGAAGAAGGAGGTGGACGGCATGAAAGTGCCGTCAAGAATGTCTGTTTTTTCAACTTTAGAGGTATCAAAGAGTATGGGGAAACTGTTGGAATCGAGAAGGGCGACGACTTTGGAGTTGGAAGAGATGAAGGGTCCCGGCGGCATGTTTGTACGGAAGACGGTGGATTTGTATTTTGTGATTCTGGTTCTGAAAAACTCATCCTCACCTTGACTGTAAAAGTAATCATATCGATCTTTAATGGGACCGAAGAAGGAGAAGCCATAATCGCCGGGGATAGCTCGTAATGGGAGCTTTTCCGGTGAGGACATGGATTGGTTTAATGCCGTAGAATTCATTGCAGAAAGGTTTTTGTATGAAAATTGAAGTAGGTTGATGGGGTGTATATATAGATGAAATCAAGTCAATTACAAGTATTTAGATGGTTGTGCAAAATGCGAGTATTGAACCACTTGAAATAATCAACCTTCTTATTAGATTCTCAATGGATAAGAGATCTCCGTAAAATAATCTATCATAATCATATTTATCAAAAGTTTTAAAAACAATTTTTAATACATAAAGTATTATACATTTATGTATAAAATCTTTAAAACAACTCATAATGCATTAAGTACTACTAGTTTATGTATTCAATCTTAAAATCTCTTAATATACAATTAAAATAGCATATAATACAAGTTACCAATGAACTTAATTACATTTTCTTTTCATGTTCCCAAGATACTTTTGACACATTTCACTCATTTCTTCACTCTCTCATACCTTTATGTCTTCTCCCCATTCCCCAAGGTGAGATTTCAAACTGATATTCACCATAATTTATTAAAAATTCTCTCATTCAATTGCTCTATAACTCTCGCTCTCGATCTTTTGATTCTTTGCTCTTGGTATAAATCAAATACATTTGTGGAGTCGTTTAAATATGTTGGATTTTAAATATATTGGATTTTAAATTGTCATACAATTTTTTTTCGTTGATAGACTGTAATTGGAACCCTAATCTTATTTATTCAAAGTGTATTAATATGTAAAGATCAAGTGTAACTATCATCGTTAAATCTTTTCTAATAAAACCAGTCACTACTAGAAAACCAGGTATCAGCGAGGGAAATTTTCCCTCACAGATCAGCGAGGGATCAGCGAGGGAAATGCCAAAAAACTCATTCCCTCGCTGATCAGCTAGGGATCAGTGAGGGAAATGCCAAAAAAACTCATTCCCTCGCTGATCTGCGAGGGAAATACCAAAAAAATTATTCTCTCGCTGATCTGCGAGGGAAATACCAAAAAAATCATTCCCTCGCTGATCCCTCGCAAATCAGCGAGGGATCAGCGAGGGAAATGACAAAAATTCAGAATCCCTCGCTGATCCCTCGCAAATCAGCGAGGGATCAGCGAGGGAAATGACAAAAATTCAGAATCCCTCGCTGATCCCTCGCAAATCAGCGAGGAATGTGAATTTTGTCACTTCCCTCGCTGATCCCTCGCTGATTTGCGAGGGATCAACGAAGGATTTTTCTATTTTTCTTATTTTCTCATTTTTATGTGTTATATGTACATATTTTTATGTGTTGATATCGTATGTATGCATGTCATGTGTTGTTTTTGTGTGTGTGTGTGTATATATATATATATATGTTGTGGTTGCTAACCGCGATATATGCATGTGTTATAAGTATATATACCCGTCGTGAGGGAAAATGATATACATTCACATATACACATACGTTTAAACATATATTCATCCATTCAATCGTGGTTAGCAACTAGTACACATCGTGTATATATAATTGACCGACGGGTATATATACATATAACACATACAACGTCGTGTAAACATATATGTATATAACACGGGCTAACGGGTATATATACTTAACGGGTATATATACTTATAACACATGCATATATATATATATATATATATATATATATATATATACACGATACCAAAATATAAAAATATAACACATAAAATTCAAATAAAACTGAATAAAGTTCATTAAATCCCGATAAACTCAATATATCCCGGTAAATAGATTAAGGTCCAATAAAACCGAACAAAGCCCAGTTAAATGGGTTAAGCCCCGATTAAAAAAAAATAGGACAATTCCCTCGCTGATCCCTCACAGATCAGCGAGGGATCAGCGAAGGAATATGATTTTTGCAAATTCTCTCGCTGATCCCTCGCATATCCAAATCTTCTTTTCTTCATTGAACTCGGCTTATTTGGCTAACCAAATATACCATCCATGACTTCTGCAGGTATATTGGCTTCAATTTGGACGTTATTTTGCACGAGGACCTATTGTAAGTTTCTAAATAATCAATATCAGAAAATTCTTGCCCTTTTCTTTTCCTTTTCGCTCACACTTTTGCACAAGTTGGTAGTTTTAACGGAAGCAGTTGTTTTACCCAGTCTGCATACATGATACATCCCATTCTTCCCAGACTCTGCTTTCGAGCTGGATATAATGGGTTTGTTTGATTTGGTTTGGTTTTATGAACCAAAATATTGTTGCGATGACTCTAATTTCATGGTTGGTTATTTGATGGGTATCTTACGTTTCTCATCGATAATTGGTGCAGGAAAGGGATGACTATGCACTCGAACTCGCCATGGGTGACGAGTAAGCTCTCAAATTAGATTGTAAATTATAAGGAAATCAATATTAACATGTTCTATTTTGTAATTCCTCTCTCTTTTTGAGAATATTTTTATACTGTTAGGACATTGAGAAGCTCTGTTGTTTCCTTTCAAAGAGTAGTAATACATATGACATATCTGGCCACTTGATCGTATGCATATTCAGTAGAAGAAGCTTGATTTAAGTTATTAGAATACAAGGGTATACTTGTACTTTCACTTCTCTTTTTAGGTAGGAGCGATTGGGTATATAGGATTAGTACAAATACAAGATGTATTTCACTTGGTTTCAGTACAATTAGGTCTCATTTTCATTTACCTAACCATTCCTATCTAAAAAAATACGTGAAAAGACAAATATTCCCTCGTATTCTTACCATTTTCATTTTCATTGAAGGGTAGTTGGGTAATTGATGGTCTTGTCATTCAACCAATCATTCAACTACTCACCGGATAAAAGTGATTAACCTCCCTGTTCCTGTCGCCGTCCCTGTTCCTGTCACCGTCCATAGAAGAGGAACTCGAGACCGAATGGAAGAATATGGCAGATTTGGAGGCCAGACAAGCTGCCTTGGCAGCTGAACAGGCCAAACAAGCTGCTGCATTAGCCCAACAGACTG